AATGCTTTTATCTGTTACCGGTTCTATTTGCTAATAAACGTTTACAAATGGAAGTCGATATTTGGTATATATTATATTTGGTTTTGGTATACATATATACGAGCCTAGTCAAGTAGCCGTTGATTGAGCTCCTATAGCTAGCAATAAGGGATGCATAGGTCTTGATCCAAATCGATCTGGGTACCGTCCAGGAACGTTTAGATAGGTCNGAAATCGAAGTTTGTTTTTTTTTTGATGGGATTTTTTTGAATGTGCCGTCGAAATTTCTTGCGTACTCTTTTCCATGAACCCATACCATATGTTTTTGTTATTTTTGATCTACAACGTCTTATCCCATTTCCATATGAAAGCCACTTCTACGAAATCTTCTTTTACATAATGGATCGGTGTCGTCTAGATTGACTTTGTAGTTTAGGCCTTTTTCGTATGTGTGTAGTTACCTTCTTCACTCATTCACATTTCTTTCCTTCTGCATCTATCCGAAAATGATATTTGTCATTCCTATTTTTTAGTTGGCTATGATTTTGATGAAGCAATGCTTTTATCTGTTACCGGTTCTATTTGCTAATAAAAGTTTTCAAATGGAAGTCAGTACTTGCGCCCACAAGCTTAGACAATGGCCAGTGATTGGGTTTGTATAGCTAACCATAAGGAATGCTGCACAGGTCCTGATCGATCTGGGTACCGTCCAGGAACGTTTAGATAGGTCAAGAAAGGCTGACTTGATGTCGAATTGGATCGACTTATGGGATGGAAGGCTCAAACCAGATACTAAAAATAAAAGTTATCAGGGATCCCAAGTGAACCATGTCTCCTCTCATCACTTACTTGCATCTCTCACTTGGAAGCAACTATTAGGCTTGGGAGGCTTTTTTGAAATAAAGACCGAATAATAAGGGCCCTTCTAGGTAGCTACGTTGACTCGGTACAAGCCTTCCCAGAACAATTGTGGCGGTGATGGATGAGCCTTTATGATTCTTTTTCATAGTAGGACCGCTGTGAAGGAAATGAGTCTCAAAACACCATGTTACCCTCTTCGAGCACCTCTTCATGCTATTCTCGATCGATGGAAGGAAAAGCGGGAGCCACTCACCGATTTTCGTTTCTCTTCAAGACACAACTATTCAAAGAAAGTCAGTTAAGCGAGAAATCCGCAAACTTAGTGAGTCATTTGCCTACTCCCTTGTTCCCAGACGATTACGTAAGACCTTAAGGACAGCCTGGGTCTCATGGTGAGTCATAAGCGGGTAGACTCTCCATGAAAGGTGGCGGGGAAGCAGCGGTCTGGGGAGACGGAGCGGAGGGCAGGGGTTATATTGGAGAGATGCTGCAATTTTTTCACTCCACGAAGGGTTCCTGCAAGCCACGGAATCTTCCGTGGCCCTTGTTTATGGATGAACATAGGATTTCCCGGCAATAAGCCAAAATGGTGATGAGCCGTGCGGGAGACAGTTCCAGATGGCGCCCGCTAACACATGTTCGGGGAATCAAGTCCTAGATCGATATTTCCTCGGATCAATCAATTCATCCATCTTTCGGGATCAGTTTATTGGTAACAGATTCGTGGGGGAACTAATTGCACTGATTTGTGCCCCGTCCAGTTTCTGAAGTCATTTTATATATATGCCAAAAATATACGCATTCGGCAGTCACTACGATTCTGAATGGAAAATAAATGCATGGCGCAATCTTGAATGGGATTGACGGAAGTCATGGTCGAGCTGTTGGCTTTATCATGACGTTAAGATTTGCACGACCACGCATCCTGGATTGAGGCATGGCTGCTGCGAAACATGTGGTCGACGAGTGGCTCGCTTGCAAAGCGGAGTTTTTCCGTTTTACGGGCCGCTGCTACGATTTCCTCATTTTCCCATGTGTATCGGTGTTCACTTCTTAGGGAACCACCTGGCAACATGATACGATTACAACGAACCCAGAGGTGTACTAACAAGACGTGAATTGAGCAATGCAATGAACTCGAGATGTGGGGATGGGACACCGTTCCTGTTGGAGCAGGACTTGAACCAGCAATGGAACTGCCCGGACGCCATTTCTACTACAAACTCATGCTATGTTTTTTCAGATGTCTGGGTTCACCAGCTTTTTCATTACATCAACACAACGATGCCTTCCCCGTTTAGCTTGGGGACAAACTTATCGAGGAAGGAGTAGCCTCGAAGGATAAAACCCACGTCCCCGTCGTACGATGAAAAGGTTCGCGAAGGTAGCCTAAGCACTTTCTCAATCGCGAGCCTGACATCTTATAAGAAGAGTTGGGGCTAACAAAAGTCCAGAAGTGTACCGAACCCACAGAAAGTTAAACATTCAGTTACACATCCAGTTACATCCAACATCCAGTTACAAGCAGCTACCGTATGCCACTTACTCCTGGATTAGAGGAGAACGGTCTTAAGTGGAATGATATGTACATATTTATAAATGATCTAGATTTTATCTAGTTCTCAGCCAGCCCTCAGGTCCTCGAATCATATAAACCTCTAAAAGGTCAGAATTTCAACGTTGATCGAGTCCATTTTGGGATGCACCTCGCGTTCGAGTTCCATTCGGAATCGTACATAGTGATGTCTTGATGCGTATGTGACCCCATACAATGACTTGCAATGAAATGACCAGCACGCGCGAGTCAGCGTTTCCATACTCTCAGATGAGTCTGTTACCAATTAACCGACCCAGGGAGGATTGAACGCTTGGATGGCCTGGACGAGTATCGATACAAGATTCGATCCCACACCATGCGTGTAATAGTGAGCCAGTTGCCACTACACCACTTCCGCCCACTTGCCCACACCAAGGCGTATCTCCTGGAGTTCAACATAGCTCCACTACCGTCCCGTTCGGTAGTGACTGACTCAAATTCGTTCGCCTGTTATCTTCAGCTTTTTCTACCACAGTTTACGATCCGACATGTGTTCGGAACATGCGGTCGACGAGAGTGTTCGCTTATCGTGCGGCTTTTTCCAGTTCACGGGCCACTGCTATGATTTTCTCACTTCTCCATGTGTATTGATGTTCACCTCTGAGGGAACCATCTGACAATACTATACGATTACAGCAAACGTACGAGGACAGTTGTAGAGTGCACAAATCAGTGCATTTAATAGAAATATGAGGAGGGACGACAAATATCATCGCTGGAACACAATGATGGAACAGCTCAGACGCTGGACGTCCTTTACTTACATAACAGATACCATCGTGTTCCATCAGCTTTTGGGGGTTTACTCACCTACTTACATACTTATACATAAGGGATGTGTCCCCTTGCATCACCCTAATCAAATTGTCAAGGTTAAGCCTCAGTTGAAAGCTTTTTCCTGGAAAATATAAATCAGCGTTGGAATCCATCTCAAACCTGGGTTTATGCCCAAACAACTTGTTCATTACTCAGCATCTTGTGAACAAGAACATTAGTATCAAAAATCCCCGTAAAAAGCAGAAAGTAGCAGGACTTTTCGTAGTCGAACAGGCCAACACCATAGTCGGGGCTTCAAGAGACCTGCCGTAGAGGGAAAAGATAGTCCGCAAAATGCAGGTAGAAGTTTCCGAAGTTGCCCGACTACTCCAAAAATCGCTGAGATCAATTACTATGGTGACCGTACCACTAGAAACCTAACGATCTTCAGTTTTGGTGCTTGAAGTGCGGAAATGGCATGCTTGCTGGGAACACCGTTTAATCTTTTGTGCATGCACCACTCTCTCAACCCTCATCCTGGACACTCAGTGACAGACCGGTGGATCTCAGACTGTCAGAACTGAGCCTTCGCGGGACCCCATTTACGTCAACTCGTCCAAGCTTTATCATTTGTAAGGATCACCGGAGCCACAACTAAAGTTGAGGGTGAGCTGGACTTAACTACTTCAGTCCTTCTCTTCCTTTTCTTTTATCCCATACCTAGGCTTTGATAACCACATGTCCGCACTCTCCTACAGGTAGAAAGGTAGATGAGAGACCTCAAG